TAAATATGAATCCAGTCAAGATTATCTTTAGCTATCTCTATTGTATTAAGTTTGGAAGGCCTTTCCTAGTGAACACTTCAGGTAATCGTATATAGGGTGGCCATGAAGTTCACATGCAATTACATATGGAACTATTAAATAATTATAACTATAAAGTGCACACAAACTTTATGGGCACCCTGTATTAGGATAAAGTACATAGGATCTTACATTCTTTCATCTTAGCCTAAATAATCCAACTTATTCATAAGTTGTTGACATGACTTGATTGTCCACAGAAGTTGCTTTGAATAGAAAAGTAAATTTTTTTATCTATTAAATGATCATTTTCCTTTAGCCACATACTATGGTACATCTTGAAACAGTTCTTATGAAGGCATTTGCTAAGTTCTCTGATGACCTGAACTGAGGTTGAAATTGCAGAAATTCTTAGCTCTATGTCAGTGAGTTGGAAAGGACATCCAATTTCCTGTGGATGTTGACCAAGAGACCTCATACAAAAACATAAAATAGAGTTACGAGAATATGCTACAGCAAAGACCTCTCTTAATGATTTGACATACTCTCAGCACTATCTCAAGCCTTATTTCAGTAACCATAGCTCTGTGATAAGTGTTTACAACCCACACATTGCCAGACACAACCATTTTGATTATAGGTTCACATTTGCTTCTTTTGAATTTAAATAATTTGTAGACCTTATCCCAGTGCTTGGGTGAAATTGCACCTCATCATTGACAAGAAAAAGAATAAGCGAAAGTCATGGTGCTGGCCATGAAGGCTGCAGTCAATCAATTGTTGGAGGAAATAGCTTTCTCTTGTCAAAGAAATAATTAATTTTACTTAATGGAGTAGATAGAGTATGAAGGCTTGCCTATCTTTTCTCATGTATAACGAGGTCATATTTATATTGTCTACAAAATATATTGTCTATATTTTTATTTTGTTGTTGCTTCCCCATTGCCTAGCACCATAAAAAACTGAAAAATATAGACGTTTACTTTGGAGATAATTATAATTTTTCTAAATTCCTCTTCCATGATTTTTACTAGAACCTTGGTTTTTCCTGGCAGTCACAAACCTAGAGGTCCTACGCTGTGCCTGCCATGTCTGTGTGCACAGAGATCAGTGTGCCCCCCTGGTTATTTACTGTGAGGCTGTTCCCTCAGAGTGACTAGATAAACAGTAAGATCATCTTAGGCAGCCTTGAATTTTTTTTTTTTTTTAGCTATATACATTATGAATTTACTAGAGTATATGAACAGATAGCTTTTTATTTGATTTATTCTAAAATAAAATCACCTTGCATATTTATTGCTATCTTAAAATATTTTCCAAAGACATTTTTAGTTTTCTAAAGTTTTATTTACCTGTCCTTATTTGCTTATTCTTAAAATGTATTTAAGTGCCATTTTCTTGCCAACACTTATATATTTAATGATAGAACATTCAAACAATTGGGGATTTTATATGACAAAAATAAAGAGTCTGCTCTTCTTATTTTTATTTAACATTGCTTTGGAAAATCTTGACCAGTGCAATGAGAGATGAAAAGTAACAAAGCACAGATTTTTGAAAGATGGTAAAAAAATGCCATTATTCATAAGTGAGAAACTAACTTACTTTGGTTTTTCAGGTAGAATACAAAGTCAAACAAAATATTTCGTTTAGTATAGAGCAGTGATTCTCACTCGAGACCCCCTCAGAGGTTTGTTAAGATCAAAGCTATTTTATTAACACTACAAAGATATTTTTATCTTTTCCACTGCTATTATTTTATTATTGTACAATGGAGTTTTCCAGAGGCTCTGTGATGTGATATCCCAACAGATAATAAGCAGAAGCATACAGGGTGGATAAAAGTTCGTGTGTAAAACAGTTTAATATAATAAACTGCACATGAACTTTATGTCTACTCTATATTTTTTAATTTTTATTTATTTGTTTATTTTTTGAAACACAGCCTCATTTTGTGGCCCTCAGTAGATGCCCAAGGGTCACATCTCACAGCAACCTCAAACTCTTGGGGTCAAGTGATTCTCTTGCCTCAGCTTCCCAAGTAGCTGGAACTACAGGCACCCTCCATAACACCTGGCTATTTTTTTTTTTTTTTTGAGACAGAGCCTCAAGCTGTCCCCCTGAGTAGAGTGCTGTGGCATCACAGCTCACAGCAACCTCCAACTCCTGGGCTCAAGCGAGTCTCCTGCCTCAGCCTCCCAAGTAGCTGGGACCACAAGAGCCTGCCGCAATGCCCGGCTATTTTTTGGTTGCAGCCGTCGTTGTTTGGCGGGTCTGGGCAGGGAATTCGAACCTACCACTTTAGGTGTACATGGCGGGCGCCTTGGCCGGTTGAGCTATGGGCGCGGAGCCAGACCTGGCTATTTTTTAAGAGACGGATTCTTGCCCTTGCTCAGGCTGGTCTCAAACCTGTGAGCTTAGACATTCTACCTGCCTCGGCCTCTCATACCCTGTATTTTAAAATATGGCAGTTTTCTATTAAGCTTAAGAGATTTATAAAATTACAAAACTGCTTCTCTTCTCACTATGTATTCTGTTTGTTTTCAGAAAGCATCATTATTTATTATAAAAATAGCTTACTTATTTTAACATATATGAGTTTCTTGTTTTTCTTTTATGTGAATTAAAGATTTAAAACAATAGAAATTCAAATGCAGGGAATATCAGTAGTTAAAACCTACAAAAACAAAAGGTGGTTGATGTCTTCATTAATTTTTGAAGCTATAAATGTGATAAAAAAAGTAAAAATTGCTGATAACAGAAGATGAGCAATCTATATTTGTGTATCCGACAGCAAAAATACCTTATAATTTAAAGCAGACGAAAGTGAAATGGTTATGAATAACCATATACATCTCTATGGAACATATGCTAACATTAAATAAATAGAGGTTCATACCACGTTCCATGGTAGAAATTTTGACTTTTATGATCATGTTTCTTATCCCTAATTTACAGGTTTCAATATGTTCAAATATATTTAACCTGTTAAATCTATAAAAATTTCTATAAAATTTAACTAAGTTCTTAAGTTGACGTGTAAAGAATGGCAATCACTGAAGAAAACGTTATTTCAAAGGAGACTAAGGGAGGCTCGCCTTCTATGGTATTAAAGTTAAAAAGAGAGTCAGATAAATAGAATGAATCAGCTTTCTCAAAGCTAGCGTTACTGTGTGCTGTGCATATGTGTGCATAAGAGCATGTTTAAGCTTAGGGGATAAAGGAAGCATTGGGGTTCATATTGTTCACAGTAACAGGCTAAGTGGAAGCAATTCTCGTCAGTTCAGTAAAGTTCAATGTCATTGGAGCTATTGCTAAGTGTTTGTAAAGTGTTTGGGGAAAGCTGTAAATTCAGACCACCTTCTTAAATAATTATTCGTTACTATACATCAAATGCTTGAAAATATTCATAATCTTTAATAAGGCAGATTAATTCCTAGCAATCTATTCTGGAGAGATATTCAGAAATGTGAAGATGTTTATATGTAAATATGTTCACAACAGCGTGTTTTATATTAATTCACATTTTAGAACAACATCAACACCTACGTATTGGGGAGTGATTAATATGGTAATGACAGGAAAAAACAGCATGTGGGATAATATTAAATAAGAACAGAGAATGCAGCAGTTCATCTCTTTCAAAGTCTATCTACGTAAAAACTCTATCAAGCTACCAGAAGGAGATGTCTCAGTCCGTGAACAGTGCTACTCTGAGTTCTGGAGTTACAGTTTGTGTCTTTTGTGTGATGCCTTTCTATCTTTCCTAATTTTTTTTACAGTGACTATAAATGAAAGCAATGCAGTTTAATCGACTTTACACGTAACGATTGACGTTTTAATTTATAAATTAAGACAAACCAATCAAATTATCATAGTGTTAAAAGGAGCCTTTATATTCTACTTCAGCTCTGAGTTACCTGTTCTTTTTCATCTGCCAGTTCACTTCCTTGGGCAGTACTTCCCTTTGACAAGTGTACTTATTGACAGTTTGCAAGTGAACTATCTAATTTTAAACAAGTCACTTTTATTCTCTTGACCTTTAATAATTCCCTTACTATCAAATAACCTTCTTTCCAATTTTAAATCTGCAAATTAAGGAATAAAGGATTCTGAAACTCTGTTTCCAATAGAAACATCTTCTGTCATCTTTCTCTCTTCTATTATACATTTTTTCCCTAACATATTCTTTTACCTGTTGTGCTTCTCCTTCTCCAACCCCCCATCTTCCATATCGGATGATTGAAGAAGGATTATAATGTCATTTTTCTGTCTCTTACTTAGTACTACTCAAAGCAGCATTCAGATGCTGGTGGTCTCTACAGTACACTAGTTGACACGGTACTGTTGACTGTTACCTACAGAGCTTTGATGATCCTCGTTACCACACAATTTGTAAAAATCTGTAGAAATTATAAGACCCTCGATCTAACTGCACTGACATAAGCTTGACAGTGAATTGCTGTTGCCTTTTCCTTTCCATCTTAGCTTGTATTGTTGGGCTTTTTACTGATACCTGCTCTCTACAGTTATAGAGAACCCAGGCTTTGTGCATATGATTAACAGACAACTGAGCACTGCTTTGCAAACATTTTGTTTCTCATGAAGCTGCTGTATCTTATTTAAACTATAGTTTGCAATCTGTGGTGCTTATTAAGAGAACATGATTATATTTAGTTGTTAATTCAATCAGGTCACTAAATATGTTGGTGAATGACAATGTGAGTGCCGATTGGTACAATATAAATATATTAGGCTTCCTGCAGATCCATTCGCTTGATATCACATGTAAGTTTCTTATAATTTAACTGTTATTAAATTTTTCAGTATAAGTTTTAACCTATATTATACATTTGAAATGAACGAACAAGACTTTCGAATTGATTTTCTTTGTCTAATTAGTCCTATGTGGGGTGGAATGTATGCTGTTTGATGCCTTCCTGTGATCCTATGTACTGATACATTTCTTTTTAAACTTGCAGCAAATAGTGGCAGCAATAAATGCAGGGATTATCCCTTTAGGAAACACCTCCAATCAAATCAGTCACTGGGATTTGGGAAGTTCCTTCTTCTTTGCTGGCACTGTTATAACAACCATAGGTAGGAGACAACTTACTTTGTTTTTTTATTTTGGTGTAATTTGTGAGCTAAAATCCGTTTTGTATGAATTTTTTTTATACTTGGTCAAATGGTCCACTTAAGGTAGAAAAGTAGATTATAGTAAATTGACTTTGAAAAGAGGGTTTAAGGGTTTCAACAAAGGAATGAAGAAAATGAATCAGGTTGTTTCAGAATATTAAGTTTAAAGGATAGGGTGTCCCAAAGGTCACCACCCATAGAAAATTTACAGATTCATATGTTGTGTTTTAAATATTTTGATATTTATCTATCAATGTGTAGAGAAATATTTTGTAAATAAAAGTACATTGTTTTGTACTTTATTTTGTCAATGAAGGTACATTTAGCTACAATTTCCCTTTTCCCGATGGATATATATACATATATGTACTTTGGGACACCCTGAGTATATAAAACTTAGGAGAAGTTTAGCTCAGGTATTTAATAGTAGTAACATTAAGAAATAGCTTGAAATGATGATTCCTTTGGGGGAGTAGTGTTATTTTGCTGCATCTTTGATTCGTTAGTGCGGTAGAAAACGATTTGAATACTATTTAATGTTCTTTTCACGAAGTTCTTATTCAATGTTGCTTTTTTCAATTTGTAAATTTTAACTCTCCATTTTAACAGATTGTGCCTGTTAGATGTTCACCTCTTATGATTACATCAGGGCTTCTTCTACCTACGTTATCTTTTACCAATAGCACAGATGTACAAAATATTAACACTGAATTAGGAAGATTGCAAAAAGAATGATGAGCTCTCCTCTCATGGGGCTGATCCAGGTTATGGAATGAATTAAGATCCATAAGGTTTCAATTTTATTTTTTGATGTTATTGACAAATTAGGACGTGTATGAAGGTATCATGTCAGTATTTTATATCAAAGTTTTAAATAGAAGAATGTGGAAAATTTATGGATGAACGCTCACTTAAAATTTTCCCTTTTCAGAAATTTGTAGCCTTCTATCATTATATAAATTTGCTGTAGTGCCTGTTTGTGCTGGATCACTTGCCAGTGAAGTCAGTACCTTAGCATGTTGATTTTGGCCTTTGTTAAGAGGTCAAGAAACTGTTTATTCTTACGTTTCCATCAGCTAGGTCAAAAGTTATGTGGCTGTGAAAATCTGGAAGAATGGCAACCTTGATTTCTGACCATAATAACAGGTTAAGTTTGGGGCTTAGACATCTTGGCCATTTCTACTATGGAAATAACTATTTATTATGTAAACTACTTAGAGTCTGGAAGAAAAAAAAGCTCACAGACTGAGTGAGAATGGTTTGTTTCTGCCCAGTGAAAACTCAAAAGTCCAAGTTATAACTCATTATGACCACCACTAAATTATTTTGCAAGAGACTCAGTCATTATACAGACTTACTCTTGCATTGTATGTTTATAAACAGTCTCAGTTGTTGAATCCCCAAATCCAGTCAGTTTTGCAGACCTATACTTCAACACATGAAAAAAAAAAATAAGCCATTATTACCAGCCTCACCCCAAATTACAGCCATTAAGCCCAGTAGCTGATTATTTAGGTTGTTTAGGTTGCTGCCCGACAGCCCACATCTCCTACTGTTCTGTCTCAGGCTTTAGTCTTATGTGGCTTAAGTCAGTCTGGGTCATCCATGTGGGGGCCTTTTCCTATATGATCTTTTACTCCCCAGGTCAAGAACATGTCCTGTTATAACTGGGGTACTGGAACCAGGAATATGAGCCAAACCCTCGTGTGGGTTAAAGTCATCCTTTATTTACCAAGATTCAGAATCTCAGGAAGATGGGTGGATCATTCAGAAGCTTACCTTACTCTGAGAGTTTTGCAGAGTCCTTACACCCTCCCCCAGTTACTATCTTTAGCTACATATACATCATCTAGTGCTATAATCTCTAGTGGAAGGACTCAGTGTTTGTTACTTTCCCAAGCTGTATATATGGTGTTTTTTTTTTTTTTCCTTCAACCCAGGGTCGTGATGACCTTCACAGTGTTGGAGCCAGGGGAGCACTGTGATGGGATTGACTAACTACTCAGATCTTTAAGTAACTTTTACAGCTAAAGGGGGAGGGAGTTGAGGCTGTTTCTCCTTTTACATGCTGACCTTGGGAGAAGGTGGTCTTATGATCTAGGGCAGTGTAAAAACTTTGGCCTCTTTCATAAGTGTCCATTTGGCATCCAAATCATTTCCTCATATCCAAAATATGATTATTAATATTACTAATGATAAAATTGTATGAATTTTGCAGAATTTTTTCACAATCATAGAAATTGTAGCCTTTTGTATTAGATACATTTAAAAGTCATTTTAAGATCACATTAGAACTTGGGAGAGTTTTGGAAAATAAATCTCAGTGCCTTTTATAGGGTGCCTGGTACAGGCAGTGCTTTATGGAATTGGGCTGGCCACATTGTCCCTTCAGTTTTTATAAGAGGAAAACGTGATCCTTGTTATTCATAGGACATATGCCCAAGAGAAAAATTTAGCTATACAAAATGAAATATGAAAATTTAAGAATAATTTTAGAATATCACTTCATATACCTACACTTTCCAAAATTCCAAGGTTTTACAAACCTTTCACAAATTCCATTCAATAGTGGCACAGATTAATCCATCCTTGGCTATTTATTCTTTTTCTCTCATATCCCTTCCCATTCCATCCACCAGTTCTGTTGGCTCTTCTTTTAAAGTACTTCCATGCTTTAACTATTGTCAGCATTCAAGTTGCCACTGTTTGGGTCCAAAGTAGGGTTATCTCATGTCTGCATCATTGCAGAAAACTTTCCCTCTAAACTCTTCTATGGTTTTCAACTCAATCAGAGCAAAAGCCATCGTCCCTTGCCTATCTCTCCTAGGAAGATGTGAGTTCTATGAAGTTAGATTTTAATCTGTTTGGGTCTTTTCTGTACACTCCATGCAGATCCAGCAGGAGGTACTGGGAGTGCATAACACTTATTTTAGAATTAACAACAGATAGGCATTCTAAGTGGTATGAACTATGACTAATTGCGAATTATAAAACACCAATTGATACCTGTGATACTAAATTCTTAGCTCTTTCAATTCAGATTTCAGATTTCATACCAGCTTGTTTATTTGTTCATTTATTTAGTCAATAAATAATAAAACACTATTGCTCTGTTGCTATGAAGATAAAAGATACATTCCTTAACCCTAAGTCTGGAAGAACAGTGGAGATCCTACATATTAATACAGACAGTGTAGTGGGCCAGGGGCTATGAGTTAAGAACATTTAAGGCGATGTATAGGAACAGCACATTACATAGATATTAGGGTAGGAAGAGACAAGGAATAGTCCATTTCCTTGGTAGATGTTGTCCCATTTGAGACTGGAAAGTATTAGGAATTTGTCAGGTGAATAAATTTAGAAAGGGACTATTCCAGGCATTAGGAGCAGATATGGAAAGGAATGGGGTGGGGTTGGAGGGTAAGAGACAGTCTGGTTGGGCGCTGCCCTTTGTCTAGAATGGTTGTTTGCATTTGGAGTAGTTCATCCTCAAGATCATTTAAATCAATTAGTCAACATACGTGCTTCCTGCTGGATCTGTGCTACTCTGCCATGGCCAGCATAAAGGAGCTAAGGTCCCTGCTTGCAATCTCATTTGGGAGATAAAATTGACATCTATGCAATAACTGAAGAATAACAAAAACAGGTCTTGTATAATTGAATGTAGTTTAAAAGCTGTAAGATTTGAGAAAAAAGAATGAGTACTCTGTAACAGAGAGGAAAGTCTTTTTTTCCCCAGAAATTCTTTTTGTTTTTTGTTTTTTTATTAACTCATAACTGTGTACATTAATGCATTTATGGGGTACAATGTGCTGATTTTATATACAATTTGGAATGCTTACATCAAACTGGTTAACACAGCCTTCACCTCACTTACTTATTTGTTGTGTTGCAAGGGTATATGTCAGAGAGGAAAGTCTTAAGGCAGAAAGTCAGATTTGACCTCTGCTTTCAAGGAAATGTTTGTTTGTTTGTTTGTTTTGGTGGGGGGAAGCGGTCCAGTCTGTGTCATGACTAAGCAAAAATACTGAACTTCATTTATTTGAGGGATGGAAAGATAAGTGTTTGGGTAGACGAGAGGAATTGTTTAAAGGAGTAGTGATAAATATTATGGACTCCTTTAGATGGAAAGAATGCAATTGAATATAATTCCATTTTTGAGGACCTATCAGAGGAAGGTAGGACATGGACTTTTTCTGGACAGTGAAGTAAAAGCTCAAAAGTGCTATTAGAAGATGCACTTGTCAGGAAGAGGATAAATGAAAACGAACAGGTTAGCAGGGTGAGCAATTGGGAGGCCAGCAGTGAGCAGGGGAGAGGGATGTGAGCATTAACTGGGTGGACTGGAATTGGTGGTAAAAGAGGAGAGGAAAACAAAATGCTGAAATAACTAGATGTAAGGATTGACAGACCTTGGTGACTAATAGAAGGAAGAGGGAGAAGTCAAAATGTAGAAAGTGAAATGAATATTTAGGCAAAAGGCTTATAATTCATAGACAGTGCTAGTTGATCCTATTTTGAGAAAGGAGTGAAAATATGACAGAGATTTTATATGAACATTGTATTATTCTAGATGTTGCATTTTAATGGTCCCTCGCCCCTCGCTTTCAATTTTTGTTTGTTTCTTTATTCTCTAATTCAGCCTGACTGGGAATACAAAATAGGTAGACTCCCTCCTGAATCTCTTACTCGGTTGAAGAAACCAACAACCAATCACTTCATTAAAAAACCAAGAAAGATTACAGTAAATACTACAAAAGAAGCCCACTTGAAATAATAGAGTTAGATGATGAAGCCAGCGCAGGGAGTGAGAAATACTTAGAAGAGGCTGGTTCAAGAACCCCCTGAGGAGGTGTGACATTTAAACTGAACCCAGACAGATGAAAAGCAATCATCTGTGTAAGGGAACGTGGAAACTTAAAGGCAGAGGGTGCAGCAATGGCAAGAGTCGTGGGTAGGACAGATGTTGGTATGTTCAAGGAATACAGATGAAGACATGTAGC